CACACACTCTCCCTCTCTCTCTCTCCCCTAAACGTGCATATATAAATGTATGTGTGTGGATAAAATGATTTTTTGTTTTTTTTTTTCTAACCGTCAAATTATTATTATTATTATACAAACATGTATATATGTATTTTTTGTTATATTGTGCATCGCAAGATGATGATGATAATGATGATAATGATAATAATAATGATTAAAATGTGGCATTTTTATTTATATACTTAAATTGTTTATATATATATATTTATATGTATATATATGGTTGAAAAATGAATGTTTTATTATTATTATTATTATTATTATTATATTATTTATGTTTATTATTATTATTATTATTATTAAAATTTTTATTGTTGTTATAATTTTAAAAATTAAGGGAGAGAAGGAGGAGGAGGAGAAGGAGGAAAAGGAGGACGTGTAAATAAATAATGCGTGTGCGTGTGTGTGTGTGTGTGTGTGTGACGTAAAGAAAAAAAAATGGAATCGAATTGTTTAAAAAAAAAAAAAAAATTGAAATTTATTTTATTATTTGTCCGAAATTAATAATAATAATAATAATAATAATAATAATAATAATAATAATAATAATAATAATAATAATAATAATAATAATGAGTAAAGAATTTATTTTAATTTAAAATCACTTTTTATTATTATTTTGTGTGTGTGTAAATAACAGTCTCTTATGTCTCGTGTGTGTTGAGTGACATTCGTTTACTTTCTAAAGGAGACCAATGCGTTATAGCTGACGGGTAGTGCGGTGACACCATCGATACCTTCGGTGGATGGTAAAGAATCACCTTCGGGTAAACTAAACGTAAAATTTTGCAAAAGACTTGCAGTGAATAGAAATATGTTGGTTTTAGCTAAAACTTCACCCATGCAACGATGTTTCCCTTAAAGAAAACAAAAAAAAATTGTTTAATCGAGGGTGGGGTGAGGGGTGAAGAAGGTAAATTTTTGGTTACCCCATCCGAAAGGTAGATATTGATCCGGTATGCTTAGATTTCCTTTCGAATCGAGAAATCTTTCAGGTTTAAATTCGTTTGGATCATCGAAATATTTTTCATCCATTAAAACGTTATGAAAATTAGCCGTCAACATTGTATCCTTAGGGATTTTATATCCCTGCAATGTGGTATCTCTCAATGCTCTATGAGGTACCCCAAATGTTCGACCCATGAAAACTCTCACGGATTCCAAAGAAATGGCTTCCAAATATGGCATTCTGTAATTTATATATGTAATGGATAATCGTAACGACGAATTTTTCCAATAATAATAATAATTTGTTTGATTAATTACTTTGATTTATCATCCAATGTCGGAAGTCTATCTCTTCCCACGACCAAATCTATTTCCTCTTGTGCTTTTTTTTGTATTTCCGGATTTCTTAAAAGATATAAAAATTCAAATCCGAGAGATTTACTCGTCGTTTCCGAACCCGCCATGAACATGTCCATACATATTGCAAGAAGTTGTGATTCTTTTAATTTTTTATGAAAAATAAAAATAAATTGAAATTATATATTTTAAAGATGAAAGAAAATTCACAATTAAAAAGAAAATTCATGTTACCGGAAAAACTATCTTTTTTTTGTTCGGATGATAAAATTTGTAAATAAACATCCATTAAATCTCTCGGTTCGCCATCTTTAAATGTTCTCTTATGATTATCTAATTCGTTCTTTAAATAAAAAAAAAATTTAATTAATAAAAAAATGTAGGGGAAAAAAGTGGGGAGGAAGGGAGGGAGGGAGAGAGGTAGAGAAGAAAAAAAACCTTTAAAAATTCCCAAACTTTTTGATGAATTTGAACAAATTGTTTATAACCGGAAGCTTCGGGTGCGATATATCGAAGTATCGGAAATTGACTAAACGGACATCCAACCATATCGATATTTATAAATAATTCCGTTAATAAATTTTGTAATTTTTTCAATTCTAAATCTTCAGGACTGTTTAACAAAAAAAACAAAACAAACCGGAAATGAATTAATTTTTTTATCAACTACTCTAATCAAATTTATTTCTTTTTCTTCGTGTTACTAACCTGTAACGAATACTTGCTAGCATAGACCAAAGCGTGTTTAATACGTAAACACCGAAAACATCTCTCATAGGTATGACGTTATCACCTTCTAGAACTTTCTTTTTAAAATCTTTAACCATTTCGTGAGCTTCTTCTTCGACTAAACCACCCATTGTTCTCCTACCAAATCCAAATTCTCTTAAATGTCTCAAAACGAATTTTCTTTGTTCCAACCAAAATTCTTCGTCGGTTAATAACAAACCTCGTCTTATACCCCAAGTCCTGAATAATGATAATTATTATTATTATTATTATTATTACGGGAATTATGTTAAGATGTTATATTACCTAGTTTCGTAAAATGGTCCTTGAGGTCTTCCATCGAAATCATCTTTCGTTAACATTTCTTTAATGGCTTCGTAACTGCAACAAACAACTTGTTTGTCTTTTCCTATTTTCAAACCGACAACCGGACCATAGATTTTTGCTAGATTTGCACATGTCTTATACAAATATCCTGTTTCTTTTCGTAGATTGTGTACCGTCAATGCGCTGCCCAAAACGGGAAGCCATGGAGGTCCTTTAATAAAAAAAAAAAAAAAAAAAAAAACTAATTATTATGTACAAAATTTAATAAATTTTTTATTAAAAAAAAGCGTACCTGGAGGATAATCTTTCGGTTTTCTAGTATCCAAATATAATAAAAGAAATAAAATAATAACGAAAAAAATGGCGGCGAACCACATTCTGAAAATAAAAAAAGGTGAAAATTTACAATAATTAAATAATAATAATGTTAAACCGCCATTTTTTTTTTTTTTTTGGTTTAACCGAATTTTCACTTTGACAATCATTCATCGTTCTAAAAATTTTCAAAATGGCGTCGTGTCGTGTTACATAACGTAATTACCAAGAAAAAAACTTCCGTACGTTTTTTTTTTAATTTTATTTTTATCAAGTAATAAAAATTTGTCTTTTTTTTTTCAGGTTTTACTTCTTTTTATTATCGTTGATGAAATAATTTCACGAAAAAACTCGTGCAAACAACGTTTATTATTATCATTAAATGTTATTTAATAACTTCCGGGAATTTTAAATTTCTCTATCCTGTTAAGACGCCATGTTTGTTTTTTTTTTTTTAATGGTAACACACAAAATTTCAAAATTTTTTTATTTTTTATCCGAGTAAAAAAAATGTCCGGCTTTGATTTCAAACTATTTTTAAAAATAAAATTAACCGGAAGTTTGATACGTATCAGCAAAACCGTTTTGTAGAAAACTTAACGAAAGGAAAACCGGAAATGATGAAAAAAAAAATGTGCAAAACTTGTCGCAGAGTAAAAGTTAAATGTAAAATGTGGTTAAATGTAATTTAACAGGTACGTCAGGTACACAAAAAAAAGGAAAAGTTGATTTGAAAAAAAAAAACCGTTAAAGAGAAAGGTGTTGAAAATGAATTTGCAATATTTGCAAAAAATGATAATTATTTATTTATTTTCCTTTTCCCGTACCTGACCTTTTACAAAAAAAAAAAAAAAAAAAACTTTCACTTATTTATTTAATTAACTTCCGGTTAATTATTGATAATGTGACAACGACGTTATTATTATTTGTTTAAAAAAATAATTTTCTTTTTTTTTTCCTCTCCCATTTTGATTTTAATTATTTTTTTTTCCTCCCCCCGACTGCGTGATTGTGACGTAAGCAAAAATCAAAATGGCGACAATCCCGTTGTTTACGCAAACGAAAAAAACGTTTTTTTTTTTTTTTTTTTTTTGTAAACGGAATCTTCCTGTTTTACTAACACACGTGTCTATGTTTCTCGGAAATATTATTATTATTATCATTTTAATTTATATTACGTAATTGTTTTTTTATTCGTCGAGAGGTAAGTAGTTGATATTAATAAGAAAAAAAAAAACTTTAATATGATTTTTTATCCCCGAGGAAATAAATAAAGAAAGAAGGAGAAAGTAGTCTCTCATCGTAAAATGTTTCACTTATGTAACAATTAAATTACTTTTTTTTTACATAATACATATTTTTTCTCTCCGACTACCTGATTTATATAAATTTTTACTTTTTTATTTTAAATTTAGTTTTGACCGTTTTTATTTTAAATTTTCTCCACATTAAAACAAACGAAAATAAAAAAATTTTTTAAACGTTTCCATTCTCGAACGTTATTGTTCGAATTTTTGTTTTCAACCAATCAAATCCACGGATTTGACAACGGAAAAAAAAATTTTCTTTAAAAAAGGCCTCGTCTCGTTTGGTAACGCAAAGTAATGCGTTTTTACAATTTGCAGTTTTAAAAAACGCCGCAAAAATAAAACGATTAATCGATTACTCGAATATATATCGAAATTCTGAATTAACGTTTTTTCCTTTTAGTTTAAAATTGTATTTAGAACGTTTCACACGGTGGTTAGTGTTTGAATTAATAAATTTTTAAAGAAAAAAGAAGAAAATGATTGATTTATTTTGTATTTATATTTGGTAACTACGATAATTTTATTAATAATTAATTAATTATTTAATAACGCTAACTTATTAAATGTTTTTTAAAGAAAATAATAATGAAAACCTAAAATATTAAAATCGTTCAAAATTAAAATGTAAAAAATTATTATTTTCTTTACTAAAAAAAAAATATATATATAACATTTCATTCAAAATAATTAAAATACATAAATTTTATTTATTTATTTATAAAATATCAGTAATAATTATTAAAATAAACATTTTAACTTACCTTTCTTTTATTGATATAAATTTGCTTTGTTTTTTTTTAACACAAAAATATATTTTTCATTTATTTAAAGGCTTTGCAAAAAAAAAGAAAATTTAAACTGATTATTCTAAATATTAAAAAAACATTTGATTTTTATATTTATATAAAAACAAAAATTAAAGTAAAGAGGAAAAAAAAAAGTAATAAACTGAATGAAATTGATGTTAAATTTTTAGTTATATACCATCCCCACCATTTTGTTTTTTTTTTTGACATGATCTTGTATAAAAGATTTTTTGTATTTAAACATTAATAGTAATAACACATACAGTTCATTTCCTTTCATAAATTTTTTGCTAACCAATAATAATAATAATAATAATAATAATTTTATTTGCAATTTCTAAAATTAAATAAGAAAATTTTATTAACTTTCTCTGTGTATAAAAAACAAACAAAAAAGGGGTTCATTCTCATTAATAAATCATTTTTTTTTTTTTTTATTTGGTTTTGCCATCATTAATAACAATTTCCTTTTTTTATTTAATTAAATACCTGTTTAGCTTTTCAATATTAATAATTAATATTTTTTGTAAGGACGAAGTTAGTGAATTTAATTTAATTTATTTAAATAAAATTCAAATAAAAAAAAAAAGATTATTTTTATTATAAATTTTTTTTATTTAATTATTATTATTATTATTATTACAAGATACAAAGGCATTGTTGTATACATATTAAAATTATTTCTCCTTTTTTTTTTTTTTAAATAATAAAAATCAAATGATAATTATATATATATATATAAAATTAATAGTAAATATTTATCATTTTCTATATAAACTATTTTAATAATTAATTTTTTTTTTTTTTTTGAAAAAAAAAAAAAAACAAATCGTACGTATTTAACACAAGTCATAAATTATAAAAAATTTTCCTCTTTACTATTATTATTATTTTAATAATAAATTACTGAAAACGTAATTTATGTATTTTAATTAAAATATTGTGGAAATATTTCTCGTTTAAACGTTTTCGCCATTGTTTTTTTAAACGAGAAATATTCAGTTTAATAAAAAAAAAAAAAAAAAACCGAGATCTGGAATAGTCTGCATGGTACCAATCGTTGGGATTTATACGACCATGTAATGAGCCTTGCAATGAACTGAAAACAAAAGAAAAAATTCCATTATAAATTTTCTGGGGATTTAAAAGAAAAAAACAGGATCTGGGGATTTTATTTTAACCTATAAATTCGGACACGGGATCGTTTTCACCATCTCCTCTCATTGATCCAGTTATTTCTTCGTTTTCCACCATCGGTAAAAACAACTGAACGAATTCGAGTGTGTATGGAGGTGCTACGGCTTCCAAAACTTCAGTCACGAAATAACGTATCAATGATATGTCCGTGTCTCCTCTTGTCCAACAGTGTTTAACGTATTTCACGACGGGCACGACGCATCCTCGACTTAATAAATTCACCATTCTGTCCAGTAACATTTTCCTCATTTCCAACTGTAAATCATCATCATATTGGATAAACAAAAAATTTACAAGGACGCACGCACGCACGCACACACACACACGCACCTGAACGAGAATTTCCAATTCGTCTTGTTTGGATTCGAATAATTCTATTAACAATGTTAAAACTTTTGTGTGTAAAAGAGGATGACACGTGACAACCTCATCGAGTAGTGCTAAATGTATGGGCGTGTGTTCTGTGGAAAGTTTAAAATAACTGGGTTCCGTCACGGTGAATTCAACCCATCTCACGATTCCAACAGCAACAACGGGACACCTGGAATGGAAAAAAAAAAAAAAAAAAGATGGATTCATTTAACGAAAGAGAATCACAAAGGAAAATTCTTGACACAAAGGAAAACTTATTGAATCGTGTAATATACGGTACTTAATGCACTGATAAAGAGATCCTAATTCTGCAATCAATTCGCCCGATCCTTTGGCCGTGTTACAAATCCCGTGAACTTTTTCAATGGCTTGCTGTGTCGGTTTAAGTTCTTCTTTGTTCAACTGCCTTCGAGAAGAACCGATTTTTTTAGCCGGAGTATCACAAACGCTTGCCGCATATGCCAATAAGTAAATATATTTTGGCTTATGCTCTGGATTTAATTTTATACCAGGTTTGAATAAAGAATCCACTAAAAGCTCTGAAAAATAAATTATTATTATTCGAATGAATAAAAAAAAAGAAGAAGAAGAAACTCTTACCTAAAAATTGTGGAGTTCTTATGAGATCAATCGGAGGAGGATCAGGTGCTGAATAATTTCTGAACAAAACTGTTATATCAGCCGGATTTAAATTATTTCTCGATAACATGGAAGTTAAAGCTTGACATGCTTGTGGATATTGTGTGGCACCATTTAAAGCCATCGTTATGGGTGTTACGTCATGGTGGCTAATAATTAATAACAAACAAAAATGAATAGTAAAAACAAAATGATAACAAAATGATATTTTAAGGTAATAATTTACTTTTTCTGAGCACATTTTATTATTTCTTGTGACAGTCTTTTCATATTAGAACCACCTTTTGTTTCTTGCGATAAAACTTGAAGCAAGACTTGACTATATACATATGTGTGTTGACCATGACAAACCATTTTCTAATCGAGGGGAAAAAAAACTTTGGTTAATCGTTTCTTCCAAAAAAAAAATTGAATGTTAGGTTAATGAATGAATTACCCCACACTCTTGAATGTTTTTTTGCCAGTCGTCTGCATTTGTCAAAAATCCAGATATGGCTGTTTTTAATACTCTGGAAAAAACTTCAATTTGCTGTGCTGCTGTCGATATACTCGTTATTTCACCTTGAAAACCAGCATCTGAAATCAACTGCATAAAATACATTTTTTTATGTATATGATGCTGCACACCATGAAAAAAATGTGAAATTTTCCCACCTTAATTGTAAAGTTAAGCATGAGGCAGTCTGGATATTCTTCTGCTAATCTGTAGATAAGAGATCTCCATGTTGGATGCTCAATCATTTCCGTTAACCATGCAGGAGTCTAAAATATTGATTTTTCAAAATTTAAATTTAATATCAATGGCAAGTACTTTTCAAGTATTCAAAAACAGTTTGAAAAACTACACTTAAATAACACTATTTTCCATGGAATAAAAAGTTTACCTCTCCCTCTTCCGTAAATATTGTATCTGCTTTTTTAGGATCGAATGTTTTGAGTACCATATCTTTTAAATGATTTTCAACCATGGCTTGTACTGCTGTTACATTGACTCCACCAGAAATGAGCCACTCGGCTAAAAGGTTTGCCATTTGTGCTGTCGCACTATAATTTTGCGATAACAAATCTATAACTTGTTCAGGATTTCCACCGGCTTGAAAATACCTAAAATTAATTAGTCTCATGTAAATAATCATCCCCCACACACCCCCAACTCCTCATGAGCATTTAAGTTTTGTGGGTACCTTTTCAACTGTGTGAAAATACCAGGTTCCATAATGTAATCGGGAGTGCTGAATTTTTCTAAACATTCCGTTAAGACTTCCTGAGGATTTTCCAAAGCTTCCTCTCCTCCCTCAGACTAAAATTAATAATAAATTGATTTGTAAACAATCCACCCAGTTTTGGTTAGTACTCATATTAAATATATATTTACGTCTCCGTCTCCTCCATCTCCTTCCCACCCTTTATCTTCGTCATAGTCATCTTCCATATTACGAAAAAACCGTTAAATTTATTCTAAAACTCATTTAAATCAACTTGCGATGAAAATATTGTAAAGCGGCCATTAAATTTGCTACCGTTTATGAAAATAACCGCCATAATCTAACAAATAACAATAATAATAATAATAACAACAACAGTTTCACGTTTGGAAAATAATAAAAAAATTTATTGAAAAATTATTTTTTCGTTTTTTTTTTTTTTTTTTTTAATTATTATATTTTATAAACAAATTATTAAAAAAAAAATTATTGTAAAATTAATGAAGGATTTATTTTATTTTAATTTTTATTAATATGGTACATAATGTTGTTTACTCATTAATGGAATTGAAAAAATTTTTTATCAATTCAATTTATTATTATTAGTATGACAAATTAAATAATAATAATAAATATTTTAATTTATATTAAAGATAAATAAATAATTATTTATCATTAATTTAAAAAAATGATAATAATAATTTTTACATATTTTTGCTAAAGATCAGGGGGAAAAATAAAACCTTATAAAAGATAATAACTTGCTAAATCGAAGTGATAATGTAAAATACAATACAAAGTTTGTTTTATTGACTGATTGAAAAAATTTTTTTTCTTTTTTTAAACTTATTATTTTTTAACGTGCACTATTAAAAATTACATATACACATATTAAAATGATATATTTAACGTAGTAATTTTACAATTGATAATAATAATAATAATTTTTATTTTTTGTTAATTAAATTATTGAAATATTTCCACGTATACACACAGATACACACACACCATGATTTTTTTTTTTATATATATATATAATAATCAATGTTTATTATAATCCCTGATTGTTATTATCAATAAAGTTTAAATGTAACAGTATAAAACAAAATGTTACGTTAATATTATTATTATTATTATTATTATTAAATTTTTAAAATTTAAAAAAAAAAACAACAAAAAAAAATGTCTAAGGAACGTTTAAAATCTGGCCAAGGAATTAAAATTCAAAGTAGATCTCCATATGAACTTATGGATTCAGAATCAAAAGAATGGTTAAATGATGTTAAAAAAATGTGGAATGTTTGTAAGTTGATATTAAACACAAATGTGAAATTTTTATATGTATATATATATATATATATATATATATATATATATATATATATATATATATATATATGAAATTAATTTTACAGGTAGAAAAGGTGGTTTTTTGTCCGATTTACTCTATTATTATTTTGGTAAAGCTGAAAATCCATATGTTTCAGCATTGAGAGCTATGGTTAACTCTGGCGATTTTCAATTGGGAAAACAAAATACATTAGCATTTAAAATAATTGAAAATTTTTCCGATTGGTTAAATAAAAACACTCGAGTACATTATTTACTTAATGATAATATTAAAATTGATGCTCTCAATCTTGTATCACAACAAAAATGTCTCCCTTTGATTAATTTGGTGGCGAAAACATTCGAAATAATAGGACATAAAGAATTATTTTACGATTCTATTAAAGGAATGATTGCCGATCGTAAATACAAAGAGGTAATTATTATTATTATTATTATTATTATTATTATTACTTGAAACAATTTATTTTATAATTAATTAATTGTTATAATATTTATTTTGTTAAAGGCTTGCTATTGTGCATCAATATTGGGATTATATGAACCATTTACAATAGAAGATTTTTTAATACCGTTAATATTTCAAGATAAATTTACAGTTGCTAAAGAATTTTTAGACGGCAGTAGAAATCATCAAATTTGTTTAGTTAAGTATTTGGATGATCTTTTGGGTAAAAAAAATATTAAATTAGAAGCTGAATTAGCACTCAGGTAAAATAATTAGTCTCAATGTAATGTAATCGAATTGATATATTATATGATAACTAATTTTATAATGTATTTTTTTCTTACCTTACAGGAAATTAAATGTATCTTATTATAGTAATTCGCTTTTACATTTTAAACCAATGGGAAAATTAATATCGAAAATTATAAAAGTATTCGATCTTCCATTGAACATGTGTCCGAATTTAAAAAAAAAAAGAGGAAAAGGTGTTTTACAATTTTTAATACATAAAAGATTTTCAAATAAAACAATTGATGATGAAAGTTGGAAAGAAATGGTTGTGGAAGCTGTGGGTTCAGATGAATCACTACAAGCTGAATTAGTCGATAAGGTCACAGTTTTTGGTACGCTCAAAGAAGCTTTGTATTGGGCAAAAAAATTTAATTTGGAAAAAAATTATTGGAATTATAAATTGATTGATTATGATAGCAAAGGGTAATTGGATTCATATTATCATTATTTATATATATATATATTTTTTTTGTCCCCGAACAATATGTCAATTTTAATAATTATCAGATTGTAATTTTAGGGCTGTGGAAAACGATGACGTCGACGTCGACGTCGATGGTGGTAAACATAAAGAAAATGTGATTGATAAAAAAAATAGGTACGTGGAAGATGTGATGAAAAAATCAGATGTAAAATATCACAAACTTCCGATCGATGAATCGAACATATATTTAATCGATTCGACTTGTTCTTTTTCGAAATTTTTAATCGATATAACGGATGGTGTTAAAGTTGTCGGTTTGGATGCCGAATGGAAACCTTGTTTCGGCCTTAAAAAATCCGAACTCGCACTTTTTCAAATCGCAACACGTCACGTCGTTTACCTTTTAGACATAATCGCATTGAGCTCCGTCGTACCTGAAAATTTATGGATAAGATTTTCGGAAATATTATTCGGTAATCCGAACATATTGAAATTGGGTTTCGGACTCCAGGGAGATTTCACGATAATACAAGAAAAATTATTAGGATTGCACGGTATAATAATACCGGAAACGTCATTGTTAGATTTAGAAATATTATGGAGAGTATTGCAAAATAATAATTTTACATTTCCTCACGCCGCATCCGTTTCCTCGACGTCATCGGGGAGTTTAAATAGTTTCATTGAATTTTGCCTGGGAGAAAAATTAGATAAATCCAATCAGTTTTCGGATTGGGAAAAAAGACCCTTGAGACACAGTCAAATCGTATATGCCGCACTCGACGCGTATTGTCTTTTAGAAGCTTATGACGTCATATTAAAAGAATCGAAAAATCAAAATTTCGATATTTTAAATGTTATACAGGATGTTATTAAAAATAAAATAGTCACGGTTAAAACTCCGTTAAAAAAATGTACAAAAACGAATAATGATGAGAATAATAAAAATGATGATGATGATGATGGTAAATCGATGGAGAAAAATGTAAAAAAGGAAAAACGGGAAAATCCCGTCGGAAAAGAAGGAAGAGGAGGTGGTGGTGGTGGGGGTTCGGTGGAAAATGGTAAATGCATAACGGAATATAAAATCCTTTGCGACACTATGTTATCCGGATTGGGTAGAGAATTGAGAAAATGGGGAGTCAATACGATAATAATAAAAAAAAATGAGAAAATGATGATAAAAAAAGAAAATTCACACGAGGTTTTGCACGTGTTCACGCGTCGTAAACCGTTTAACGAATTGAAAAATTACGGTAAAGTTTATTGTTTGACATCGGGTAGAGTTAAAAATCAATTTCAAGAAGTTTTAGATCATCTCAAAGCTGTCGTGCCGAAGGAAAACGTACTCAGTAGATGTTTGGTGAGTGAAATTTCGAAAAGGAAAAAATGAAATTGTGGCACGTTTAAATGTGATGGACGAATAATTTTTCTTTTCAGGATTGCAATTATAACGAATTTCAAACACTGACGCAAGATGAAATAAAAAAATTATTCAATCAAATGGGGACGACGGAAAGATCGAATTTTTATTACAGGAACGAACCTGGAGAATTTTATTACGACGACGATATTAGCGATACGGATAACGAAGAAAACGATTGGTTTAGTTATTCGAAAAAATGGTCGTCGTCTCAGGAACCCATGGATATGTCTTTCATGCAAACCAAATTGGGGGCTTACATCGATTTCAATTGCATTAATTCTCCTCTAATGCAAAAAGTTTCCTTTTTTTACGCATGCGTTTCTTGCGGTAAATGTTTTTGGGAAGGGAGTCACAAAGGAAGAGGAGTCAAAGGTTTCACATGTAAAAAAAAAAAATAAAAATCAAATAAAATCCATTATAATTTTTATTTGAAATTTTTCTTTTTTTTTTTTTTTTGTAACGTTTTTTTACACAACAGTTTAATTATGGTTGTTGTCCAGTTTTAATAATAATAATAATAATAATAATGATTTATTAATGTCAAAATTAGATTTTTTTTTTCAAGTGTGGTAGTAATCATGTTAATTACAATTAATTAAAGAAAAATTCACAAAGGAAAAAAAAGAAAAAAAGGAAAAAGTTTTTTAAATTGTTTTTTTTATTTTTTATTATTGTTAACGAAAAATTTATTATTTTTTATTTAATTATTTTTTTTATTAGAGAGACAGAGAGAGATTTATTGTTTATATAAATAAAAAAGAAAAACTTTTTTTTGTTACAATAATAATAATAAGTGATACAGTATATTTATATATTTTGTTTATTAAAATCAAAAAGACTGAATTTTATTTAAGGAAGAAAAAAATTATGAAAATATATAAAAAGTGTGAAAAATTTTTTAATTTTTTATTTTACTCGGTTGATAATATTATGTATTATTATTATTATTATTATTATTATTTATTAATAATAAGGATTAAATTTTAATTTTGGTTACGGTTGCAATTTTTTTCTTTTTGTATGTTATTGCTCGTATATATATATAATTTATGTATGAATAAATTTTTTTTTATTACTTTTTTTTAATAAATTTAACAAATTTTTTGTTTTTGTTTAGATTTCATTTTGTTTGTTTGTTTTGATATACTCGATGGGAAAAAGTTTTTAAACGATTAACGTAGTAGTAGCCGTCATCGTCGTCGTAGTAAAAGATTCTAAATCCACGTTTTCAGCCATTTGTATTCGTGTTAAATTAACGGAGCAAAGGTATGCAATACGAGTTTTTTTTTATCTTAACAATCCGTCGTTATTTTATTTATTATTTGTGAATTTGATCATGAATATTTATTATTAAACGTTTCTTTTTATTTTATTACGAAAAGTTTTTACGTTTGACCATTTTTAATTGATGAAAAATTAATGTTTTTTTTTTCTTTCAGGCATGGCTCCACCGCGATATGAAATGGCCGTTGGCCTTCAAAAAGGCCACAAAACAACAAAAATTGTCGTCAGCCGTAAAAAAACGGCCACGAAAACTCACAAATTTAAACCGTCTCGTTTAAAAGGAAGGCAAACGAAACACGGGAAATTCATAAGAGATTTAATTAGAGAAGTTGTCGGTCATGCTCCATATGAAAAAAGAGCCATGGAATTGTTGAAAGTATCCAAGGATAAAAGAGCTCTTAAGTTTTTAAAGAAAAGGGTGAGTTTTAAACCCGCACGCACACACATTCGCATTTATATAGATATATGAATGTAAAATTAAAATATGAGTAGATGGAAAACCTCTTCAGAATAGCCATGAATGAAATTTTATTTTCTTTCGTGGAACGTAGAGAGGGAGAATAATGAGGCGTTTATCCACTTGCTATAACAAATGTTATATCATTACTAAGAATGCCTAACACATGTTTATTTGAATACTTTTAATTTATAAAGATTTGAAAACTTGAATAAGGATAAATGATAATAATATATGTTGGTTTGTTTGTTTCAGCTGGGAACTCACATCAGAGCGAAGAGAAAGAGAGAAGAATTATCTCACATATTAACACAAATGAGAAAAGCTCAAACACAACAACATGCCAAGTAAATTTGAGAAAATTCTCATTCCTGTATTATAATTTTTAACTATTTAATATAAATGGTTCGCATTATAAATTTTAATTTTTGTACATATTTTACTACATATTGTTATTATTATTATTATTATTTTTTTTTTTTTTCTTCACCATAAGTTTTTCTTACTTTCTTTTTTTTGTTCAGTGCAAGTATGAATTGTTAAAAAAAAGTTTTGACTCGTTTAACAGGTTCGAGTAAATAGAAATAAAGATGAATGAGTATTTGATTAAGTTGATTTTGTTACAAAACATTTCGAAGCCTTTTCCAAAGGAATTTTGACATGTTATCTTCATTAAGAAGAAGTTAGCAAAAGTATAATGATCCTTTGGTTAGAATTTTTTGGGGGTGACCAACGTTTATTCAAAATCATATTTTAACTGAGGATGATTGATTGTTTTGTAAAGAGGAAATATTGGTAAAAACTTTTTTGATGAATTATTTTTTTTAAACTCGTCATTTTAATTGAAAGTTTTATTAGAATTTATTTAATTTAAATTTGAATTTTCTTTTAGTGCCGGCTTTTTTTATTTAATATTAACGATTACCAACCGTGAAACAAGGTTAAAATCATAAAGAAAATAGAAAACTTTAAAAGAAAATCATCCGTCAAACAGTTTTGAAATATAATTCATGTTATTGCCGGTAGAAAGCGTTGAAATCGTTATTCTGTCGATACCATGTAAGAGATATAATAATAGTTTTGGTATTAGAAATTATGTAAAGGCACAACAGACTCCATTTATTAGTTGTTAACTTCTATTGAGCTGATTAAAAGTAGTAGTACAGGTAAATACCTCCAGTCATACTTAATAAAAATGCTTGCTGTTAATTAATTTCTACATCAGGTGAATACAAAATCTTCTGCCCCTGATTTTAAGTGGGTATCCACTGTTTACATTTTATTTCAAGCGGAAATCCAATGTTGCGTTTTATTTTACTTTATACTTCCTTGGATATTATGTTTTTCTGATACATCAGAGAAAATTTTTCGATGTTTTTAGTGAAAAATGACCTTTTTAGGCGGGAATCCACATAACGTATTAATAATAATTAATAAAAAGAAAGAAGGAGGGCGCTGGTGTGCCATGGTTGACAAGAGTTTTTGCCATATCGTTTTATTTAATTAATTTTAATAGTTTTTTTTTTTTAGGGTTTATTTATAAGTCATATATCAAAAGTTTTGTAATTTAGTCTAGTTTGCAGTGATATAATTAGTTTTTTTTAAATTATTTAGTAATAACTATATTATTTCAAGTTTAAATTTGCAAGTAGTCAACGGTTTCATGTGACAAAAGGAAGCGCGGGCAATAGAAAACCTTAGAAGGCACCTTAGTACATATAAGTTAAACGGATAAATACCTCATTTTAAGGCATAAATTTCGCTTGAAAAAACGTTAGGCTACCAAAGAAATTGAACACATAACCAAAAAAATTTTTTTTTTTTTTATATTTCTTTGGTTAATTATGAGTAATTTGACTAATTATTCTTTTATCTTATATAACAAAATAAGAATTGAAATAGTTTTATCATAATAATACAGGTTGATACATGATTTTTTCAGGGTGAAATTTCTATACCCCTATGATCAAGTGGTAACTTGTGATTGTATGTTATTTTAGCCTTGTCTTAAGCTAACTTAATTCACTATAGCATAGCTTATTAATAATAGCATAGTGTAGCTAATACCTTTCTTAAATCTGAATCAAATTAGGAAAGAATAGTAGTAGCCTTTATATTAAGTGATATTAGTGTGGAAGGGTACAACAGATTTCTATTTAACCAGACATCATTTAATAAATTTTTACATATCTTGAGTTGAGTATAAGAGAGTTAAATATCTTTGTCATACTAAAGTATGGTATGGTATGAGGTAGTGCAATAAAAATACTCATTATTTATTGATTTAAAGTAATGTATAACTGGATATAACATCTCTGTACTCCTGTGTTAATCTACTGATTGTTTTTATACAGAATAGTTTGTCATATATTTTATGTTAATTTCTTTTTTAATCTATATTAATACTAGGAAAGATCAACTTTTTTTATCTAGTACTTAATAATAGTACAAAGTTGTAATTTGTATATTGTGTGCATATAGTTAAGTGTAGTCTGTGTGTAATTTATTTTATCCTTAAATTAGTTTGTTTTGTTTATAATCTTGATTGTGTAATATTGCCTGTAAATTTGATTCAAAATCAATTAATTAAGTTATAAATAAGTAGGCTTTTAGTATTTGATTCTAATGTAAAAATTGTGAAAAGTATTTTATACATTTGAGGGAGCACAACTTAAACAAACTGTATACATCTTAAGTTGAAGTCTAGCTCCATATTTTAGCTAAGTAGTCTAGCCAAATATCTCTATCATACTTGTTAAAAATAGGGATAGTTTAACAAAATAGTTTAATAAGATATTTGGTGGTAGTACCTGATTTAATATATCAATTGGGTTAAAAAATTTGTTCTGTATTTCAGATGTCTAATAACTAGTGTTCTAATTGTATAATATTTAACCTTATATTAAATTGTTGCAGCATATTTTACATGATTTACAGCAAGTTGACTTTTACAAGAGTTTTGTAATAAAGGTGAATGAATTTATAAATTTATATAAGTAAAAAGAGGAAAACGAGAAGAGGACAAAGTAAGAATCAAAAGGCAAATCTTGTTCTACTGTCGACAAGAGGCAGCTCAGCGAGAATGTGAATTTCACTAGGCTTTTGATCCTGGCCACTCCAAAGATGTTAGTCACCGGAGCCCAGGTCAGGAGACAAATCTTTCCAATGAATAAGATGGACTCAGGAAGACCTTCAAGAATTGATGTGGTGCTATCTTAGTATAAGTGGCACCACCGAAATTCGAGTATTTGTCCCTAAAGGAATCGGGTAGAAACCTCGGATAAATACTTAAAAACCCCGACAAGTAGCCTTGTCGTGTTTAATGGTGGATAATAATAATAATAATAATAATAATAATAATAATAATAATAAGAGTATAAGGAGTTCGTCAGTCAGTCAGTCAGAGTCTACTTAGTTGGTTCATCATAAGCAGACACACAACCGGAGCGTCAAAGTAGAAGAGGATTTGATTCTCTTACAAGTGGAATTAGAAGCATCAATTTTTATTTTCACACTTGGATTCCTGTTTTGTGTTCATGTACGACACGTTTGGGGCACGAAGTAAATACTTTCAAGCAATCAAGATCATTTTCCTCATTCAAGAATCATAACATATAATTTGTCGGTAGGATAGGATATTATTTGTAGGTAGTCCCTTAGGGCACCAAGGAACCATAAAACATACTGGCAAAAACAGTGAAAAAAAAAAAAAAAATCCTTACCAATGAATATGGATAAATCAAGAACTCCTGCTATATCCTTTATTAATGAAGACAAAATCTGCGTAGGCAAAAAAAAAACCTGGACATTTAGAGGATTTGTTACTTTAGGAAAAAGAACAATGAACGACGGGAAAAATACTATTATAACATATTTTGCCATATTTTTAGTGTGAAATTCTATTTTAATTTTAATTTGAAGGTAGAAATAGCTCGGGGGGTCTTCGTGCGGGACGCTGGCCATTAGGGGTACGCCCTTTCGTTGGGGAACCGAAACTGGTAGGATGGGGGGAACCTCCGCGTGCCAGCCGGGAACGAACGGCTCCGCCAGTAGCTCTCGGTAGGCATGGGGAAGTTTCTCCAAATTAATTTAAACAGGTGCAGGGGGCTCAGGACCTTTTGCTAAACTTGATAGGGACGTGGAGCATCGAAGTCGCGATGATCTTGGAGCCTTACGTCTTTCCGTCAGGGGGAGGGGGTCGTCGCGCCGGTACTCGGTTCGCATCCGAGGTCGGCGTGGCCGCGATACTATTCTCGAGCTCGGTCAAAACGCCGAGGCCTCGAGAGCTGTCCCGGGGAGAGGGTTTCGTTCTGGTGGGATGGGGAGACACGGTACTGGCGTCGGTTTACGCGTCGAGCGCAAGCGGCCGAAATACTGGTGGACGGACGAGATAGGGTCGGTTCGGGGATAGGAAACGGGAACTCCTCCGCCGTGGAGGACATTACAAAGAAATCGTGACCAACGCAATTTTGCGTTTTTACTCGATGGTAAGTAGGTAGAACGCGGATGAAACAACAGAAAATTTTTATAAAGTTTTTACATTTGTCTTTACTAATTGTTATTATTTTTTTTTTCTTTCATTTAGGAAAGGACCAGTAAAGACGAGCCGGTACATTCAGTAGTGACAGTATCAGACAGCGAAACAAGATGATGTCTACCTTTTGGAGAGGAGAGGAGAGGTGACAAAAACGTTTCTGTTATATTTTCAAATAATTTAAATAATGGCTACGATTTCGTTTTGGAAAAAAGTACGAAAAAGCGAGAAGGCAAGAAGGGGAAGGGAGGGAGGGAGGAAAAGGCGAGAAAGAGGAATAATTAGAAAAAATCAGGTTCGGTTGTTTGTCGTCATAGAAGGGACCTCGTTTTAAACCTGTAATTAAATTTTGAGTGATGATTGAACGTTTGATTTATATTTGGCCACGTTTATATTATATACATATATATGTATAAAATATATGTATGTATATTTTTCTTAATCGTGACACATAAACTACTAAATTTGCCACAAACGATTATTAAGTTTTCCGTTTTTTTTTTTTTATTTATAATGATGATAATAATAATAATAATAGATTATAGGTAATATATGTATTTATTCTCTCAAATATATTATTTAAAAAAAAAATAAAATTTGTTTTTTTTTTTTCCCACCATGCATGTTTGGTTATATCATTCATTTATTCCCATAAAAGAAAAACTTAAAAGAAAGAATTTTTATACAAATTGGGTTATGCAACTGGCAATACGCGAAACCCGACAAATTGCATAACTCAAAAAAGTAAGGCGAACAGAAAAAATCGAAAAAATTCAAAAATCCTTAAAAATTTTGGTTATGCAACTGGCAATACGCG